TATATTAGGCTTATCTGACTATTTATTTGCGAAATCGAAAACAAAAATCTCTACACTGAAAAAAGGATTTAGTTATAATAACCCAAAATTAGTGACTATTACTAAATCGCTTATTGAAATATGGCTTATTAAACCTTTGGTCATAACACACAAATTATTTGTTTAAAATTTGAGAATAAAGCACTTATTTAATGATATACTCTATCTAATAATAGTTAATTAACGCATATTAATAATAAATAAATATTTTGTTCTCTGAAGTTGGTGTTTGCCTCTGGATTTTCTGTCTTTACTAATAGTAAATTGATCATATTTTTCAAAAATATACGTTTGTTAATAATAAATTCTGGTTTCTTTTGCTGGATTAAATATAACTTTATATTTATTACCAGTAAGTAAACAATACTTGATTCAAATAATCATTTATTAATAGTAAAAAACGTTTATTCGCAAATATTATTTAGCTTTGTTACTGTTAATTTGGAATTATTTACCATAAGTATTTTTTTTCTTCAAGCCCGGTTGTACAATTGAAGCCTATCATGGCTTAGTTAAGCTTTCTGGTACTTGAAACCTTCCCATTTAAAATGCACAGCTGTAAGATTTGACAACACGTTGACAGTAATGCATTTTAAATAGGGAAGTACAAGTAACAGTTAAGCTTTAATAAGCCACGATTTATAAGCTTCGATTGTACCACTGGGCCTTAGTTTGTTCCTGGGAATAGGGCACTCTGAAATAATTAAAAACGAACCGATCTTTTTTTGAATTTATTTTTCTTCGGTAGGCTAGATTCTCACATACGTAACATCATTTTGTTGAACAACATAGCAACATGGCGGGTGTGCATGCGGCGACCTGTGAATGTAATAATGAACTATAACTCGATTATCTTCTCAGGTGTAACAGGAAAAAAAGGTGAATACAAAGTTGCTTGGTACCTATTAATTAACTGGCGCTTCTTCAGAAAATATTCTTACGTTTGCAGTTTTATAAAACAAGTTCAGCATCACCATCACAGCACGTTTCCAAAAACCGTTGTAATTCGACACTGTTGTGTTCCGCCACGCTATCTTCCACGATTTAATAATTATTACACTTAGAGTTGGGATAAATCATTTATAAGTTGACTGTTAACTTTGTATTTCGCCGAAGCACGCCAGAATAATGCAAAAGTAGGGAGTCGGTGGAACAGATAAAACATAGGTCAAGGTGTTTCTTCTTTCACGCCTCGAAACCAAAAGAACGAATAGCTCACAAATATAGGCGATAGACAGTGGGGACGGTGGCGGGTGTACCAACGTTTGTTTACTGATATTATAATTTATGTATGGAAAATAAGGATTTATTATTAGAAACCAAGGAACAAGTTGAAATTTCAACTAAACTGTGTTAAAATGGAACATTATATATTTATTAATCTACAGTTACCATTTGTTTATAATTACTAAACCAGAACATTCTGTTAATAAATTATATTTATAAAACCTTTGTAAATCAATGTAAGAAATATTTTGTTCATTATTAACAAACATTGTTTGATATAAGAAAATTAGTCCTAATAAATTATTTGTATTTTATAAATAACAATTTTTAACAGTCATATTTTTAATTACCAATTTAATGTATTTCTTACCAATGCATATTAATTATAATATTGGTTTGGTATTTGTAACCAAATTTGTCAGAAACAAATATTTATTTACTATAATCTCGAATTTTTTTTCAGTGTATATTTAGCTTGCAGGGTGCGCTAATACCGATAATAGAAGAGCTTGGTTTATGATTTTCGAACCTACTTTACTGGGTCACCCTGTATAGTTAGAGATTTTGCGCAATGATGAAAAATACTTATTTTTACTAGTACTACAACATACCAAATTTTTAAAAAAATCGACCCGTCCCCGAAAACCCATAAGATGTGTGCGATGTCCTTTCCAAATCCAAGCGGCCCTACCTGGACTAGTGCGCATGCACGGAGGACATTTGATAGGTTCTAATGAAAATGACCAGTTATGTAATTTACTGCCGCTTGGATTTGGTTCAACCATAGGTACCTAGGTAATAAGACATAAGGTATCACAAACAATCTAGTGAAAAAATACCTACTAACTACTAACTACCCCATTTTATAATAAAAATTAGGTCGGCGCCAAATAGTCAAATACATAATTGTACGATAATATGCAGGTTATTGTCCCAAATTGGGAGTAAATACTTCCAATTCAAGTTCAATTCTGTATTTTAGGCACCAAAATACACCAAAAAGTTTATATAAACATGGGTCAAAAAGCAAAAGTGGAAACGTTAATTGATCTATAAAAAAATCAAAGTTAAGTTTTTTATAGAAAAATTACAGAGCCCTCAAATTTTTATTTCAAATTTTCAAAAATATGAATTTCGGGACATCGTATCATTATAATACTTAAGTATATATTACACAGAACATAACACAATAATGGATAGAGTTTTAGGAGAACTCGAACCACTCCGCATACCTATTGCATGAAGAAAAAAAAAAAAAATGGCGATCGCGACCCAAGCCAAGGGCTATAAACCTTCAGGTACATCAAAGCATTTTCCCGCAAGAAACATTATTTATTGAAAACAAAATAGATACGCAGAGATAAAGAAGGGTCGGTACTTACATTTCACATTTCAAGTACAAAAATCACTGCATTCTGCACTCCACGGAAATAAAACAATTTTTTTCAAGCTGGACTACGCCAAGCAACGCCGGCCGACAGGAAAGGGCAAGGAAGCTTCCGGCGCAAAAACTTTGGTTGTAAAAATAATAAATTGTACTTCTCATCCAGAGCTGGGCAAGCTACTTGGAAAAAGTAGCTAGCTACAAGCTACAAGCTACTTTATATTGTAAGTAGCTAAGTTACTCAGTAGCTCAACTACCTCTTTGAAAAAGTAACTAAGCTATTAGTAATTTAACTACATTTTGAATTAGTTAAAGCTACTATTTAAGCTACTTTTATCAATGTACATGCCTTACCTAATTTAATTTCATAATATCATTATACGAAAATAACATATTAACTTTCTCCAAGAAGTAGTATTCATATTTTTGTCAAAAACCACTGGACTTTAATTTATTAGGTTCACTTTGATCACAGTGATCTGCGAATGCGAGAATAAAATAGGACACATAAAACATAGGTACCTACAGAGATAACTAGAAACTAGTCTAAGCAAGGCAGAATAAGAATTTTCCGGAAAATGATAATTATAGCTTGAGCAATGAAAGTATAAAGTTACTTTTATCGAGCGGTAAATTCAAACGCGGGCGATAGGTTGGTGGAAACGTGCCTTTATAAGGGGAAAACTGTTTATTTTGGAAAATAATGTCGAATGGATGCCATTATATTATAGGTATAGTTATTTTATTTTTGAACTAGAAGAGTCCGCTGCGCATAAAACGTTATAAGTATTTTGGGCGTTAAGTATCGTTAACCATACCCTCGGACGGTAAATGACACTTTCCGCCATTAATAATACTATTAACTATCTACCAAAAGTAGCTTAAGTAGCTTGTTTTAGTAGCTAGCTACCGTTCACAGTAGCTTATGAATACTTGAAACACATTACCAAAAGCTACAGCTACAAGCTACTTTTTTTTCAAAGTAGCTTGAATAAGTTATTAGCTACCAAAAAAGTAGCTAAGCTAGTAGCTTAACTACTTAGTAGCTAGCTACTGCCCAGCTCTGTTCTCATCATATGTTTATCTTTTTCTGCTGCATATAATTAGGCGATATCGTTGCTGTTAGTTTGTTGGAGATAAATCATGCGTGCACAGGGAACCAATGAAAAACATGAAAATAAACTTAAAATGAGAACTCGGGAGTCTCAAAGAAAACTCTTGATAGTTTAATACAAATAAATATTTTTTTGATTTGAAATATTCTGTTTAATTGAATTGAATTCGGTATTATTTGAAATGAATTATTTATTATATTGTCTTAAAACCAAGAAACTTCAGCTTAGTAAATTCATGCTCTTAGACTAATAAATTACGAAATTTTGATTCTAGAACCTAGTTTTCTCTAAATGATACCAAAAATAGTTTAATTTAAGAAAAATTCTTCAAACTGAGAACAAAACTCAATTAAATTATTTTCTTACTTTAACATATCGAATTTACTCGAAAGGAGAAATTGATCTCAAGTCAAAAAAATATTTCTTCTGACTGAGATTTTTTTTCCAAAACTTTTTGTGTTTTTAAAATGAGACATTCTTTTTTTGTGTGTGCCATATGGGACATATAGTCAATCTAGGTTTATATGTTTGTACTATTTTATATATATATATTTTTATATTTATATATGTTTATATAGATTAGGTCCATTTTCATGACGAAAACACGCATCAGGTTAGGATAAAATTCAGATTATTAACTCGACCATTTTATATATCGCAATCATCCGCCATTGCTGCACGTTCAATAAAAATAAAATAATATCGGACTTGCCCAAAGATGTTTTTGATCCATCGAAACTATATAAAAAATTATGTAAATTACAGATTTATTATTTTTTTTTGGGAAATATTAACAAAATAGGAGCCCGTTTGTTTTGTGTGCATATCATAATTATATTTGACAGAAAAGTTGCCTTCGTTTGAAATGTTTGATATTGGTTTTTAGGTTAGTCATGGTTGACGACGTTTAGTAAACGTTCAAATCTGGTTGTCTATGCTGACGTATAGGTTAAAAATAGGTAAAGCCACGTGACCTGCGACGTCGTTACAACCATGAAATGATTCTCCATTTTGGTGAAAATAAGGGTTGTATACCTAGTCGTCTATTTAACGTCGCACCTCAACGTCAAGACATCAATAACGACGTTGTTAGGACGTAAAAGCGCTGATTGGGTTCTGATAGAAACAGGAATTGGAAGAAACAAAATCTAAAGGTAGAGACCAGGAAATATGAATGATAAGAAGATTTGATAGTTTCGATCTTTAACTATTAATTTAGTAATTATTCTCCTCACCTCTCATAACAAATAAACGATGAAAAAATTCAACACTGTGCCGCATTACACTTTCTAGGAGACTTTTTTTAGTGTATTACGTGCAGTTTCCTTCAAATTCATCCAGACCTTGACTCCAGCTCTAAACCTGAAACCAATTAAAAACAGTTTTTGAAAAACAAATTTTAAATTTGAAGTTGTTTAATTAGAGCTCACATTAATTAATAATGTCAAGAAATTTATCGGTTTCAATTAGTAGATAAAACAACAATCAAGTTTTTCAAATTTTTTTTTTTTAAGTTAGAATGCTATATAAAAAAAATTGATAAACAATCTAAATAAATGACTTAAGGGAGCAACAGGAAATACTAAAAACACAAAATAATTCCAATACCAAACTCACATTCTCAATTATTTAAACAATCCAAGAACAAATCACAATAACAAATCACAAACTAGAATCGAGAAAAAACGACGACGAAGCAAAGTATTGATGGCGTTAAACGACCTTGTCCGCAATATTTTAAGAATTTCGGTGCGGAAAATCCGAATGGCGGACGCGGGCGTCGCGACGTCCAAATCGACACTACGAGTTGGTGAAAATTCGGCCCCGGCCTCAGGACGCAGACGCTCGAAAACCGGAATTTTTCTCTCCCGATTCCTAGTAGTTTGTAATATGGATTTGTTTGGAGAGGTAATGGTTCATGTAAAGTCGAAAATTTAACTTTAGACTTTAGAGGATAAGATTTTGGACATTTTCTTATTAGTTTTTCAAATGATAACTAAAACTGCTGCATCAAAAACTGGTTAGTGTGAAGTTATCCATAAAATCTCAGCCATAAAACTATCGAATCGCGGTTAGGCCTACTTTTTACTATATCTGTCGGATTCTCATATATTCTAAGGGCTGTTTGTGCCATATTAGAAATAGCTATGAATGTAAGCTACTACTACTAGCGATCAACCAAAATTAATTTTGTATAATGCTCCGCCGTCCGAGTGTCTCAAAAAAATTAAAAACCCTGAAAAAGTCGTGATTTTTCACAAGCCCCCCGCCGGAGGCTAAATTTTTTTTGAGTAACCCAAACTAACCCAAATTTCGACCCGAAAGTCGTTCAAAAAACACTCCTTAAATTTTTTATTAGGTATTTTTATTTAAACGTTGAATTGTGAATTCACCATTTTCAAAAGTGGTATGAATAATTATATCCTGTTCACAATCCGATGTCCACAGGTGCAGGTAAATTTATCACCATAGGCGCAACTAGGGGAATGCTTGGGGATGCTAAGCACTCCTAAAGCAAAAATTAGCACTCCTATTCGGCATCCCACCATAGCAATACCTAACACTTATATAAAAAATTAGTGCAACCAAATTATTTTATGTATTTTTTTGCACTTTTTGTACTTACTTACGTCATCGATGACGTCATAATTTAGAAAAAAGTTTTTCTCGTTGATTCATTCATAGAGCACGTTCGCAATTATTATTATTAAAATCAAGACTTACCTCAAAATATACGGTTTTTATCTTATTATATTCCAGGAATAAGAGGAAAATGAGGAGCTCATTCTACGAAAATTTCAAAATGTTCCAGTAAAAAATCACTTCAGGAAAAAATCTGAAAAATTGACTTTTTCAAGTAAAATTAGGGAAAATTCACCTCTTACATTTTAATTTTTTTCTGCAAAACTTGCAAAGAGAAAATTTTGAAAATTTTCCAGGAATAAGAGGAAAATGAGAAGCTCATTTTACGAAAATTTCAAAATTTTTCAGTAAAAAATTAATCCAGGAAAAATTTTGAAAAACTCACTTTTCAGCAAAATTAAGGAGAATGCATCCTCTTAGATTTTAATTTTTTTCTAGAAATCTGGCATAGGGAAAATTATGAAATGTTTTCAGAAGTAAAAGAAAAGTGAGGAGCACATTATAGAAAAATTTCAAAATTTTCCAGTCAAAAATCACTCCAGGAAAAATTCTGGGAAATTGACTTTTTTAGGCAAAATTCACCCTCTTACAACCGGGAAACTGGCAAAATTTTCCAGAAATAGAAGAAAATAAAGAGCTCATTGTAGCAAATTTTGTAATTTGCGAAGACTCGTAATTTCCGTAATTTTTCTTTAGAAATTTTTTAATTCGTCATTTCTCAAATAATTCTTATAATTTTTTCATTAATTCCTGTTTTCATAATTTTTTAATTCTCGTAGTTTCTCAGAAAATTCCGTTATTTTTATAATTCCACGTTATATACCTCAAAAATTAGTAGGTAATTCCCGTATTTTTTCTGGGCATTTTTCAAAATCATTTCCCGAAAGCCTTTGTGATTTCTAATTCTCGTAATTCCCGTAACTTTTTCGTAATCTCCGTAATTTTTTATAATTCTCGTAACTTTGATACTTTTCGTAATTTTCAATTGTCGTAATTTTTTAAATTTCTTGGACGTTTTTTGAAATTTTATAATTTCCCGGTCTTTATAATTTTTGTAATTGTAATTCCTGATTCTTGTAATTTTTGTTATTTTCTAACTTTTTGAAAATCATCATAGGTTTTTTCGATTTTTGCAATTTGTTAATAAATTGATTGATTTATTTCCAAAATTTTCGTAACTTTTGTAACTTTTCTAATTTTCATAATTTTTTAAAAATTTAATTATTTTCCGTTGTCCCGAAATTTCTGCAATTTTTGCAATTCTCGTAATTTTCGTTAATTAACAAATTCCTTGTGTTATTTCCGATATTTTTTTTTTTTCAATTTTTCGTAATTTCCGTAATTTTTGCAATTCCTATAATTATTCTAATTGTCCTAATTTTTTTTATGATTTTCCTAATTTCCGTAATTTTTTATGATTTTCGTGATTTCTGTTATTTTTTTAATTCCCGTAATTTCTTTATTTTATTTTTCAATAATGATAATTCCCGTAAGTTTTTGAAATCTCTGTAATTTTTGAAATTCTCGTGTTTTTTTTTTTTTTTTTTTCGTAAAACGTAATTTCCAATCATTGGCGTATCCAGGATTTTGGTTTGGGGGGGGGCTAGCTCTGTTAACAAAAAGTGCTGACCAAAAAAAAAAAAGCTACGCACATAGTCCACCGATCATACCTATACTTTCTTTTTTTATAATGTACGAAAATAGGTCAACTAGTTTTTTATTAGTCATATTTTGGAATGGTTTACCAGTTTACTAAGAAGAATAAGATCTTCCGGCATCCTCGCATTTTTGAGAAAGTGACAAGTAAGGCGACAAAAATTTTCGCATCGGGCCACTTATTTGCTTTTTTTTGGTAAGGCGGAGAAATTAAGTTCACCGAGCACCTTCTCTCATGAGGCCTTATTCTTGAAACAGGGGAGCAGCCAGGCGCGGATCCAGGGAGGGGCCATTAGGGCCATGGTCCCCCCTAGATAAGAAAAAATAATTTTAAAAATCTACATTAAATCGACCAATTTTTCCGGGTTTACCAGGACCCGTATATAACAGAATTTTATTTCATGGCGTCATTTTATCACGGACCTCTAGCCTATTCTATTTGTATGTACAAGGTGTTTCAGAATCCATCGTCAAAAACAAAAGTTTATTGTAAGAAATTTGAAATTTTGCGTACTTTCAACTTTTTTAAATGAAAGGTCCTATATTTGCTTCTAATATATAGTTTGTCTATATTTGTTTGAGCAGCCTTCAACATATTTGGCTCTAAAAATTGGAAAAATACTATCCTACTGATGATTTTGTGAACCATTCTGATGAAAGATTCACGTAAAATTTGAGGCACTTGGTTTGTCTGATAGTATTTTTTAAATTTTTGAAGCCAAATGTGGTGGAGACGGCTCAACTAAATATGAATAACACATTCTATTTGAAAAAAGTTGGAAGTAACTACGCAAAATTTCAAATTTGTGACAATAATTTAGCTAAAACTGCTCCACTTTTGTGTTTGCCCCTATCATCTACCTATAAAGGTGGGGTGTCAAATTATAACGAGACATCCTGTACTTTCCAATATTTTGTATGCCCCCCCCCCCCTAATTTGGGTCTAAATCCGCGCCTGGGAGCAGCATTTACATGGGAATAGCTTTTCCGTATGTGTGTTACTCATATTATCATGTCATTGAGATAGTAAAAGAAATAGTTCTCACGCTGGTCCTTGGTTTCAAGAATAGGTAACGGGTTCGATTCGATTCTCGTCTTAGGGAGTAGAGCTTCCCGAGATACGTTGGAAAGGACAAAATAGGCGTTCTATCGGGGAGTATTCGGACATTCAGGAAGATTAAGATGAAGCACTGATTCCCTTGCTGCATTAGGCGCCCGCCATAGAAAAACCTTATTATAGAAAAAATTGAATTTCTATTTTTTTTTTTATACAAAAAATGAACATGTCACATAAAATACCTTGAAGAAAAACATAGTTTACACTTGCGTTGGGGGGGGCTGCAGCCCGGAAGCCCCCTCCCTGGATACGCCTATATTTCCAATAATTTTTTGCAATTCTATACGTAATTTTTGAAATTCGCCTAATTTTTTTTTAATAATTTTCATTGTTTTCCGTAATACTCAATTTTTTTCTAATTTTATAACTCTTCTCTCAATTTTTTTAATAATTAATGTAATTTCCATGATTTTTCGAAATTTTTGTGATTTTTGTTAATATTTTTTCCATATTACGTAATTTTCCAATAATTTTCGTAATTTTACATAATTTTTGAAATTTCCATGATTTTTTTTTCGTAATTTTATAATTCTCCTAATTTTTCAATAATTGTAATTCCCGTATTTTTTGAAATTTCCGTGATTTTTTGTAATATTTGTTATTTTTCATTTTTATAATTCCTGTAATTTACGTAATTTATCAATGACTTTTGTAGTTCTACGTAATATTTGAAATTGCCAAGAATTTCCATTGCTTTTGTAATACTCAAATTTTATAATTCTGCTTTTTAGTTTTTAATAATGGTGGTTTCCGTAACTTTTTAAATTTTCCGTAATTTTTGCGATTCTCGTAATTTTTGTTACTTTTCCGTTATACGTTATTTTCCAATGTTTTCGAAATTTTTTGCAATTTCACGTAGTTTTTGAAATTCCCGTAATTTTTTAAAATAATTTACATTACATAAGTAATTCCATTCTTGGTTTTTTTCGTACTTTTGCAATTCTTATTTTAATTTTTCAATATTTGTAAGTGTTGAAATTTTTTCAAATTTTCATGATTTTTGCAATTTTAATGATTTTTGTTATTTTTTTGTAGTTTCCGTATTTTATGTAATTTTTCAGTTATTTTTGTAATTTTGCATAATTTTTGAATTTCCAGTATTTTTCAAATTTTTTTATTTTCATTACTTTTGTAATACACGACTTTTTTGTAATTTTTTAATTTTCCTCTTAGTTTTTCAATAATTAATGTATTTCCCGTGATTTTTCAAAATTCCCGTGATTTTTGCAATTTTTCCGATTTTTTTCATTTTTTCGCGATCCCTGTAATTTTTGAAATTTCTATAATTTTTTAATTTATTTTTATTAATTCTATATTTTCCGTATTCCTGTATTTTCCGTAATTTTTTAATGGAATTTTTATAATTTTCCTAATTTTTATGATTTCCTTAATTTTTTGAGGAATCTTCGCCAATTCGGTATTTTTTGATTTTTTCGTAGTTTCTAATATTTTTCAATTTTTGTAATTCTTTAATCAATTATTTTCGTAATTTTTTAATTCTTTTAATTTTTATAATTCTCATAATTTTTTAAAAATCTAGTAACTTTTTGTAGTTTTGAAATTTTTGTAATTTCTGCTAATTTCAATTTTTGTAATTTTCGTAAAAGTTTCCGAAATTTTTGCAATTCTTATATTTTTCAAATTATCAATTCGAAACTATAGGAATTATATACATACATAATTCAAAATTTCAAAAAATATTCTGAACTTACAAAAAAATAGGGGAATTACAGGAATTATTCCAAACATGCAGGAATTACTCAAAGTTATTCAAAATTATGGACATTACGAAAAACTATGAAAATTACAGAAATTATTGCAAAAATTTTAAAATTTTCAAATGAAAAATTACTCCATAAAAAATTCTGGAAAATTGACTTATTTAAGCAAAATTAACGAAAATTCACTTCTTACATTTAAATTTTTTTCTGGAAAACTGGCAGAGGGAAAATTTTGAAAATTTTCCAAGAAAAAGAGGAAAGCTCATTATAGGAAAATTTCGAAATTTTTCAGTGAGAAATCACTCTAGGGAAAATTCTGGAAAATGACTTTTTCAAGTAAAATTAAGGAAAATTCATCCTCTCACATTTCAATTGTTTCCTGGAAATTGGCAAAAGAGGAAAAAGAGGAAAGTCAGGAGCTCATTATGAGAAAATTTCAAAATTTTCCAATGGAAAATCGCTCCAGGAAAAATTCTCAAAAAATGATTTTTTCAAGTAAAATTAAGAGAAACTCATCCTTTCACATTTTAATTTATTTCTGGAAAATTAATAAAGCGACACTTGTGAAATTTTTCCAGAAGAAAGAAGAAAATGAGGAGTTCATTATAGGAAATTTTCAAAATTTTCTAGTGAAAAATCACTCTAAGGAAAGTCGATAGGAAAGTTCTGGAAAATTGACTTTTCTAAGCAAAATTCATCCTTTCACATTTAATTTTTTTTTTGGAAAACTGTCAAAGGGAAAATTTTCCAGGATAAAGAGAAAAGTGAGGAGCTCATTATAGGGAAATTTCGAAATTTTCCAGTGAAGAATCACTCCAGCAAAAATACAAAGAAAATTGACTTATTTAGGCAAAATTAAGGAAAAATCATTGAGGTAGAATAATAAGGAGGCGACATAAGGAGAAAAAAGCGTATCCCACTTCCGCCATATTGTTACGACACTTCTGTCTGAGATTCTGTCACTTTTGTCATAGCAACGCGTCAAAATTGTATCAGGGACGCATTTTCCATCCGAAAATTTTTTAAATGCGAAAAATTTTTGAAGCCTAGAATTCCTATTTTGGGTCTTGGAAGGATCTCCTGTTTCAGTATGTTGAAGTGTTTGTAGCTACTTTTTTTTTCTTGGTGTAATCTCGATTTTATTATGTTTTTTTTTGCAGTTTCGCTATGGAGCAAAAATTTAAAACCCTAAAAAAGTTGTGATTTTTGTCAATTTTTGAGTGTAGTCTCTACGCAATTGCTTGTACTGCTTCGAAAACAACTACACATGTTAGCTAGTAGGTACTCCTGGAAATCAAGAAAAATTAGTTTTGTGTAATGCCCCGCCGTCTGAGTGTCTCAAAAAAATTAAAAACCCTAAAAAAGTCGTGATTTTTGTAAATTTTTGATTGTAGTCTCTACACGGTTGCTTGTGCCGCTTCGAAAATAGCTACACATATTAGCTACCACTCCTAGAAATCAAGAAAAATTAGTTTTGTGTAAAACCCCGCCGTCTGAGTGTCTCAAAAAAATTAAAAACCCTAAAAAAGTCGTGATTTTTGTCAATTTTTGATTGTAGTCTCTACATGGTTGCTTGTGCCGCTTCAAAAATAGCTACACATATTAGCTACCACTCCTAGAAATCAAGAAAAATTAGTTTTGTGTAAAACCCCCGCCGTCTGAGTGTCTCAAAAAAATTAAAAACCCTAAAAAAGTCGTGATTTTTGTCAATTTTTGATTGTAGTCTCTACATGGTTGCTTGTGCCGCTTCAAAAATAGTTACACATATTGGCTACCACTCCTAAAAATCAAGAAAAATTAGTTTTGTGTAATGCCCCACCGTCTGAGTGTCTCAAAAAAGTTAAAAACCCTAAAAAAGTCGCGATTTTTGTAAATTTTTGATTGTAGTCTCTACACGGTTGCTTGTGCCGCTTCGAAAATAGCTACACATATTAGCTACCACTCCTAGAAATCAAGAAAAATTAGTTTTGTGTAATGCCCCACCGTCTGAGTGTCTCAAAAAAGTTAAAAACCCTAAAAAAGTCGTGATTTTTGTCAATTTTTGATTGTAGTCTCTACATGGTTGCTTGTGCCGCTTCAAAAATAGCTACAAATATTAGCTACCACTCCTAGAAATCAAGAAAAATTAGTTTTGTGTAATGCCCCATCGTCTGAGTGTCTCAAAAAAGTTAAAAACCCTAAAAAAGTCGTGATTTTTGTAAATTTTTGATTGTAGTCTCTACACGGTTGCTTGTGCCGCTTCGAAAATAGCTACACATGTTAGCTACCACCCCTAGAAATCAAGAAAAATTAGTTTTGTGTAAAACCCCGCCGTCTGAGTGTCTCAAAAAAATTAAAAACCCTAAAAAAGTCGCGATTTTTGTAAATTTTTGATTGTAGTCTCTACACGGTTGCTTGTGCCGCTTCAAAAATAGCTACACATATTGGCTACCACTCCTAAAAATCAAGAAAAATTAGTTTTGTGTAATGCCCCACCGTCTGAGTGTCTCAAAAAAGTTAAAAACCCTAAAAAAGTCGCGATTTTTGTAAATTTTTGATTGTAGTCTCTACACGGTTGCTTGTGCCGCTTCGAAAATAGCTACACATGTTAGCTACCACTCCTAGAAATCAAGAAAAATTAGTTTTGTGTAATGCCCCGCCGCACAGTGTAACGAAATCGAAAAAAATGGGACATTGAGTCTTTTTTTCTAAATATCACTACCTATGATGATTTTCTTTAACAAAAAATGAATAATACGACAAAACTCCTCTTCTGGAAAGAGAAAGGGGTGAAAAGTATATTAAAATAGAAAACAGAAATTCCTACTTTGTGATATGGAAGAATTCGCACTGATGCAAAAAAGTAGATTTGGCGATAGTGATAAAAAAATAATATCGATAGTTTCGATAATCATGCTGGTGAATATCGAAACTATCGATAAATTATCGATAGTTTGAAACAAAAAATTATTTATATTGTTTAATTTTTTTTTTATGCAAAGAAACATTATTGTATTAAACCTTGATATCATTACAAACTACCTAAAACCAAAAACAAACAAGAACTCAAATTAATAATTTTCAAATAAATAACCTATACCTAGCTCTGTTCCAACCGACATGAGAACCATTCTAGAACGGTTATTTCCAGTCGATAAATTCATTTGTCAAGTAGGTTAAAGGTTTAACTTATTGAAAAATAGGTAGACAACTGGAAATTACTGGTTCTGGAACCTGGAACCATTCGCATGTTGGTTGAAACAGAGCTACTGTATTCAGACTAAACTAATAAGTCGCTGCTCGAGAGTCTGTTGTCTGTCTCTGTCTAATGTCTATCGTGGATTACACCGGTGCAGTGGTGCAGTCAATCCTGTGCACCCCAAACCCTGACCTAACCTATTTTACATTCAAAATTGGAGTAGTGAACTCTATAAATACTTCCTATTTATTTTAAGTTAGCATTAGTTCATTGAATTCGATTATCCTGCGACTATCGATAGTTGCACTTGGCTACTTGGCACCATCGATATTTTCGATTGTTCGATATTTTATGAAATATCAAGACTATCGATAAACTATCGATAATATCGTCACCTCTACAAATAAGTAAACCTTATCAATAAATAAAATACCAAGTCATATTAAAATACCAGAATTTATTAGGTGACCGTTAAGTTCACAGACTTAAAATTTAAAATAAACAAAATATTCAGTCAACTAAAAAATTTTTTAAAAAAAATTGCTACCACTCATTCAAAAATTAAGGTAATTATCCCTAGGGATACTGAGGAAATATCTTAATGGAATTATGGCGGCAAAAGGTCACCCTCCAAAATAAAATTATCGAAATTCAAAAATATTGCGAGACCACTAAATTATGTATTTTTTAATATGGGTGTTATTTTTCAAAGGATTTGGTAAATTAAAAAACCACAAATTTAAACTGCCATATCTCCTTGACCAGAAGGATAAAGTGAAAGATATCTCACATAGTGAAGCTCTGAGGTATCCTCTAATTATCCGTGTAAAAAATTGTATATAAATCCAGATTTTGATATATAGGCTAATGTCCCGTTTTTTCCAATTTCATCACAGTGTGTGCCGTCTGAGTGTCTCAAAAAAGTTAAAAACCCTAAAAAAGTTGTGATTTTTGTTAATTTTCGATTGTAGTCTCTACACTCAGACGGCGGAGCATTACACAAAACTAATTTCTGTTTATTGCTAGGAGTAGTAGCTAACATTCATAGTTATTTCCAATATAGCACAAACAGCCCCCAGAATTTATGAGAATCCGGCCGGTATAGTTAAAAGTAGGCCTAACCGAGATTCGTTAGTTTAATGGCTGAGATTTTATGGATAACTTCACACTAACCAAAAACCGAAATGAACGGAAACGAATTATTTCGACGACGCTCTATAAAACAGAGTCGAACAACGAAGAAGTTATCTTATCAGTGTGTCAAGGCGAATAAGTTTTGGAAGAGCTGTTTCTCTTATATTTTCATCTTCCTGTAAATAAACTCAAAATTCTGGGTCCAGAATACTAGAGAACACTCAAAAGCCTGGAATAAGAAAATTTGTGTGCCTTTTTTTTCCATTCTTCATTTCTCAAATTTTTCCGTCTCAATTTTTGTCTATCCTTGGATTTTGCATTTTTGTTAAATTAAATAGAATTCTATTCAAACGGTGATTCGTTTCCTTGAGCAGCTTTGTCGTTAAAAATCTAGATGGCGCCAGAGTAGCGACATGACAAACCATGCCGTCCTTGACCATTGATGACGTAATGCAATAGTATGGTCTGTGATGGTAAATAGATTGTAATAATTGTAGAAAAGAAAGGGTAAACGTTGCACGTTGTTCATTTTTATACAAAGATATACCATATTGCATCAGCCACAAAAAAGGCAATTTAAAATTAATTTAATTTCGTTTAGGAGCAATGTCATCGTTGGAACAACAAATTAAAGAACAGGGTGATTTGGTGAGAAAATTGAAATCGGCAAAGGAAAGCAAAGAAAAGGTAAATAATTACAAATTCAATTACCCAATTAATTTCCCTATTTCTGCAAGTGTAAAGTGTGAGTCACACAGTTTTTGTGAATGTTTAATTAGAAAAAGGGTTAAAAAAATAATCAAAATCTCTTGAATATTATAAAAGCCTTTCATTATTCGTTGTTTGTTGTAGTGAGCAAAAAGATGCGCTTAATTCGCGAGTTAAGGGGGCTACTGAAGCATGGCAGGGCTTTGGGCACAATTAATTTGTTCAGTAGCAAATCACAGGTCAGTGAACAGAAAATTGATTTTACATGCCAAGCTCTGATAATCTAATTTCTAGGTTTGAAATACATAGTTTATTTCCCAATAATTTTATCGAAATTGGTATAATTGGATAAAGCAATTGAAAATAGAATTTTCTGCACCCAAATTTTGAAAAATTTGCAGTATTTTCCTGAGAAAATAAATAAAAAAGAAAACTCTTTAAAAATTAATAAAAACATTTCACTCTAGGGTAAACTAAGTGGTCACAAATATTGATGGGACTTCTTGAACATCGATGTTATTGGTTATTACTCGCGGCTAAAGACCAAAATGCACTCTGGCTCCTTTGATTTCGAGGTTATGTTCTAACCTCTTTTTCCTTCGATTTCCGCGGTTATTTAAACGTGATTTTTAAACTTCTTAAGAATCCACAACCTTTTTACTTATACTTTGATTTTTTTGAGGTTTAGAATAATTGGGAAAAAAAGGAAAGTAAATTATTGTGTCCTATTATGTATAGACAGATGAATGATAATTTATGAAGAAAAATTAAACACGTGAGCAGACGCAACGAATTATTTATTCAAATTCGATTACAAGGCAAACACAAAACAAATAAACAAATATGCACTTTAAAAATAAAAAAAAATCTGGGCTCTGGGATGCCTATTAACTTAATAATATTCTAATTTATAAGACATTACATAATATGACCTCTTATTACTTTCAGGAATTAATTAAGAATCAATTAACAGTTGATTTGCTATTAAAATTGCCTCTTCTGGCTTTGGTTTTGCAAGCAATTTTTTTTTCGACTTTTTGGACTTATTTCTGGTGGAAAATAAACGTCTTTGAGGAAGTATATTCTTATTGTGAGGAATAGTTTTCTTATTTGTGAGTCCCAGTCCCAATAGATCCATAGCATGTATTTCTGTATCGCCACTCTGTGCGTCCATTGCCTTCAACGTTGGATGAACAGGTGCAGTAATTTTCTCAACAGCTTCAAGTTGATCAAAGGATGATATATTTTGTATTTCTTGAGTTAGTGAAGCTATTAATTTTTGCTTTCTAGTTTCCAAGTCTTGGGTTGTTCTGTTTGGATTGGGGTTAGATTTACTTACAACATTTACCAATTTTTCTTTTTCTATAGCTCGGTAACTACTAGTTTCGTCTATAATTAATGAATATTCTTCATCTGGAAAAAATACAAAGTACCAACTGCAGCATTTTAAATGGGTATACTCAATATTCAGAAATATTGAAAATAATTACCTATCAGGCCAGGCCCCCAATTCTTGAATAATCTCGCATACGAATATTGATATAATTTCGAACGTTCCCTATTCAATTTACGTTGCTGTCATTCGAATTCAACTTTCGTATGCGAGAATATTCAAGAATTGACCCCCTGTTAAGGCCATCAACCATAAAATACCATCAGCTGTATTCAACATCCTCTTTTAACTCAAAAGCGCTTTTTAAAACTTTCAAAAATGTCTATTCTAAGCCAAAGCCATAGATATTTTTAAAGGTACCAGTTTTAAAAAGCGCTTTCAAGTTAACAGAGGATGTTGCATACATAGCTGTATACATTATTATTAGCTTTGTTCCAACACGTCAAGATACCGTACAATGTACTGTCACAATTCTGCGCAAAACCAAAATTTGCGCAAAGTCAAAATTTGCGTGTAGGATCCTACATTCATACACAGAGTGGTTTCGAAACCGTTCATAGAACAGTTTTTGACGTGTTGGAACAAACCTATTATATAGGTACTAAATACAATTCATGTAACACCTCTTGCAAATTCAAAATGATGTTGCTTTGGACACTCCTTGCTAATAATATTATTACAAACATCCTCCACTTTTTATATATTAATGGTCAGAATAAAATTAATCTAAACTTACTAAATATAATTAACCAATAAAGAATCTTACCCCCCGCACTAGACAATATTATTATGAAAACAAACTGACATCTTTTTTAAGTTGACAAGAGTTTGTGTCTGCTGAGCTGTGCCCAAAAAAAAAATTTGTAAATAATAAATCAAAATAAAAAAAAAATAAAAATTAAAAAATTGCAACACATAGGTACCCTCAGAGTTGTGTCCAGTGTCAAAGATTTTATTGCCTTTCAGGAATTGACACACCAGATGTATGTGTTTACACATATTCATCCTTATACTGTTATCCACACAAGAACAAGTATAAGAGTGGAGGCAAGCTTCACACAAGGTACAAACTAGTTTGCAGTCACAATTGGCTTTATGATTTTGAACCAAATACACTCCATTTTGTGAACTTGAAGGTACTTCCCAGCCCATTTCACACGAGACAACAGTTACCATGTCCAAATCATGACTTGTTTTGTGTCTTTTTCGCAATTCTCTTATTTTGCTAGAAAGTTTTCCTTTTTCTAAAGTAATGAGTCGGTCAAATATCTTATCCCGAATTAATTTTAATAATGTATTGATAGTTTTATCGAGACGCTTCACCTGCTTTCCATTAAAATATAGGTATTTTATTAAGTGGTGCATTCGTTCTATACTCATATTAGTGTTGATTCCTGCGTGTAATCGGTAACAATAAGCCCATGATTTTATATTGCTGAGATAATATTTTTCAAAATAATTTCCAAATTCATGTGTTTCAGGTGAGCTTAATAAAGCGACACAGAAATTTTCTAGCATTTCTGTAAATGCAACAGCATCAGTTTCTTGTAATAATGTACGTAATTGTTTGTAAACAAGAACCTAGAAAAAATTATATAATTAAATAAATAATAACCTATCTACAGTGTGTCCTCTTAAGTTCACAGTACATGGGAAACTTTTATATTATCAATTTTATGAAAAAAAGTTTTTCTTTATAAAAATTTCTGCTTCTTGAAAAAATAATATTGAACTATTAAAACTTCAAATAGCATGTACAGGGTGGTCAAAAAAATATATACAGGGTGTATATTTTAAGTGATACCACTATTGCTATATCCGAAACGGTAAGAGCTACAAGATCGGTTAAATTACGAAAAAGTTGCCTTTTTTGATGCCCATTTAAGACTCGTTTATTGCCAAATTCTTTTTAGTTTATGAAATACAGGGTGATTTCTAAGAAACGCCCAAAACTATTTCATCAACTATTTTGAAAACTATTGATTTTCGAGACCCAATTTAAATTTGAAAAATTTTGAATTTTTCTCGCTCTACAACATGGCATCTTCAAATTTTGAATCCGACGTCTCGTGATAGAGTTTCCATCATCAACTTCATTTTTTTTAATACGGACCTGGTCTTTTTATGTCATTTTTACAAAGGGAATGAAAGGCACTTTCTAAAAATGACATAAAAAATGCAGGTCCGTATTTAAAAAAATGAAGTTGATGATTTTAGTTCGATTACGAAACATCGGATTTGAAATTTGATGACACCATGTTGTAGAGCGAGAAAAATTAAAAAACTTTCAGATTTAAATTGTGTCTCGAAAATCAATAGTTTTCAAAATAATTGATGAAATAGTTTTGGGCGTTTCTTAGAAATCACCCTGTATTTCATAAACTAGAAAGAATTTGGCAACACTGTAAACGAGTCTTAAATGGGCATCAAAAAAGGCAACTTTTTCCTAATTTAACCGATCTTGTAGCTCTTACCGTTTCGGATATAGCAATAGTGGTATCTCTTAAAATATACACCCTGTATATACAGGGTGTTTCCGAAGTACGGTTCTTTAATTCAGGATGTGATTCCTCACAATATTTTAAGAAAAAAGTTCCCATAAACATGTGTCCGGAAATGCGTAGTTTCTGAGATACAGGGTGTCAAAGTTTTAGAAAAAAATCGTTTTTTTAGCTCAAAAATCCCTTTCCAGTTTTTTTTTCAAATTTGGTAGGTTTGTTTGTGATAACGAAAGGTATCTTTTCACTGTAATATGACTTGCTTAATCTGAAAAAAATATCAAAACTTCAAAAAAATAGTGACGTTCTATTTTTTTTTCTACTTTTACCAAAAAACCTTGTATATTTTTCAATTTTCTCACCATCCTATACATGATATTTCAAGTTTCAATAGTTTAATACTATTTTTTCAAGAAGCAGAAACTTTTATAAAGAATAACTTTTTTTCATTAAATTGATAATAAAAAAGTTTCCCATAGGCTGCAAACTCAAGTGGACACACTGTATAATAATAAATAAATGAAAAGTAAATTCTGAATTTAGGTACCTTTTGCTCTTTACCATCTATCTTGTCTAAATTATTCCTCCAGGCCCTGTCAACGTGCCACGAGCAAAAAAGCCTAAAATTTTAATAAATGGTTAATATAAGAAAATAGGTAAGTGCTTGGTTTCATCAGTTTATTTTACCTGAATGTTGCTGGACACATAATTTGGACCCATGCATTGTAATAACAATTTGCCATATCGGACATAAACACATGGGGTTTCACGGCCCTTCCCAATTTGTCTTTGATCTTCATAAAAAATATAGCCATTATCTCTTCATCAGAGCGATTTGCAATCATAAAACAACAAGGGAATCCCTCCCGCATATCATCTAATAGCAACAATGTTGTCAGCTCAAAATCATGAGCATTGAGTCCGTGCGTACCGTCAATACAAATCACATCATCACCAAATTGTTCCAAAATCTCTAGTTGGCCCGGATGCAGGATTATTAGCACAAAGTCCTCCTTTTTCAGGCCAGAAAAATCTTCACTCAAGATGCCCTGTGCTTTGTAAAACAAAACAATTCCACTATTTCCATAGTCCTGGACCCAAGATTCGATACTGATAACTTCATTTTTATGCCGAATTCCTTCTGAATTTAAATTGAAACATTGTGATATATTGTTAAGGTCTTTTCTAGTTAAGAGATGTATCCTTTCTAATTCATTATTTGTAATCGAATCTCTTATGTCATCTAATATAGAAGCCAGAGGTATTTTGGATGCAATTTTGCTGGCTATTTCCATTTTCTCATTTTTAGAGATGTTTACATGACTCAAGTCATTGTCATGGCCAGTAT